GACATCTTTTGTTTGTTTGGTTTTTGTTCCGGTACCGGGAATCAAACTTACAACCTTGCACTTGCCAGGCAGACGCTGTGCCGCTGAGCTAAACCCCCAGCCCCATGACATCTTCTATACAGGCAAACTCATGGTGAGGGAAACTAGAGCAGCGGTTACTGGCAGTGGGAAGAGAGAAACTGCCATGATCTGAGTATGGCTTATCCCCACCAAAGCTATGCCAAGGCTTTATTCCTCCGTGCAGTAGCCCTGGGAGGTAGGGCCGCGTAGGTGGTGTCTGGAAAGATTACTGTCGCGCGGCAAGAGTGAGTCCCTGCTCTGGGGGACTTGGTTTGGCTGCTGGGAGAGCACGTTGTTGAAAAGCAAGTTTTTCCCTCATATTTGATCTCAGCACACGCCGGCTGTGCTCCAGGCTTTTCTGCACACGGAGCAGTACGGGCCCTCGACAGAGGCCAAATAGATGCACCTGCTCCGTCTTGAACTTTCAGCTGCCAGCACTGTGAGCTAAATAAACCTTTATTCTTTAAAAATTACCCAGGCCCAGGCATTCCGTTATGGCAAGAGAAAATAGACTAACACACAGATTTATTGCTGAGTGGGTAGAGGTTGTTCGGAAAAAGTTCTGGAAATGGATAATGGTGGCGGTTGCACAGCATTGTGACTGTCCTTAATGCCATTGAAAGTACTCTTTAGCCAGGCATGGTGTGCACGCCTGTAATCCCAGCACTCAGGAGGCTGAGGCAGGAGGATCATTGCGAGTTTGAGAACAGCCTGGGCTACAAAGTGAGCTCAAGGCCAGCCTGAACTGCATAGCGAGACCTTGTCTCAAAAAGACAAAAAAATTTTTTAAAAAATGAAAGTACACTTTCACACGGTTAAAAGGGTACTTCTGCGTGTTGTGTTGATTAGAACGCATGCAACAATAACCCAGAAAAGGCAGGGAGTGGGAATGAAAAATAGGGATGGGGGAAATCACAGGACTCAGACCAGCAGGTGGGGACCAGCTTAGGAGTCTTGGAGGCCTCTGTGTAGAGTTGAAATTTCACTCTAATTGCAAGGAAAAGCCACTGGACAAATGAAACAGGGAGAGTCCCTATGTCTAACTTTTTTTTTTTTTTTTTTTTGTCTTTTTATGACAAGTTCTCACTCTGTAGTTCAAGCTGGCCTGGAGCTCACTTTGTAGCCCAGGCTGGTCCCAAACCTGCAACGATCCTCCTGCCTCAGCCTCCCGAGTGCTGGGATTACAGGTGTGCACCACCACACCAGGCTATCTTATTTATATTTTTTAAAAGATCTCTCTGGAACAAACTGTACAGAGGCAGGAACTGAAGGAGCAAGAGGACAGTTGAAGAAGTTTTCATAGGCCAGAGGGGAGATGAAGGTAGCACAAGTGGCAACAAAGGACGACAAGAACCAGTTGGAGCCAGAGCTGGGGATGCAGCTCAGTAGTGGAGCACTTGCCTTGCATGTGAAAGGCCCTGGGTTCAATGCTATCACACAGAAAAATGGATATCAAAAATATTATGGAGAAAAAACTAGAACTGAGTGATACAGTAAGTTGGATGTGGTAGATGAGGGGGAAAGAGAATTAAGGAGATCCCTAGTTTGGGGCCCAAGGAATTAAATGGATGGTGAAATGGAAAGGGTTTAGAAAGAAAGAGGCTTGCTTTTTTTTGGCGGGGGGGGGGGGTGGGGGGCGGGTTGAGACAGGGTTTTGCTATGCAGCCCAGGCTGGCCTCGGACTTGAAGCAATCCTCCTGCCTCGGCCTCTCAAGTGCTGGGATTACAAGTGTGCAACAACATGCCCAGCAAGGAGTTTTAGAAAGGTGTGATTTCTAATCCAGGTGGCTATTAGATTTCTCAGTGGCAAGAGCCAGGCATAGTGGTGCATCCCTGTAATCCCAGCGCTTGGGAGGCTGAGAGAGGAAGATTGTTGAGAGTTCGAGACCAGGCTGGGCTACAAAGTGAACTCAAGACCAGCCTGAACTGCATAGCGAGACCCTGCCTCAAAAGGACAAAAAAAGAAGAAATGTAGCACTAGACTTTTCAAGGGCCATAGTGAGTTTGTAGAACAAATGAATGACTTGTGGGGAGGTGTAGTTATCCCTCCCACTAAGCATAAGTGAAATAGATGTCAGACTTTCCTTGAGAGCAGGCTACTCCTTACATAACCTCTGCTTTCTCAGTTCTCCCTAGCAAAATGATTACGCCTGACGTCTGTTCAGGAAAGTCCTGAAACTGAATTTCACTCAGGTGACTGGGCTGGAACCTATAGGGCAGACTGGACTTTGGATAGACCTCAAAGGATTAGCAAGAAACCAGGATGGATGTGGCTATTTCAGGTCAAGGACAGCAGGCACACAACTGGAAGGCCCATGAAGAAAAGCAGACACACAGTCGGAAGGCTGACACGCCTGGGGCGGAGGATACACCAGATGCCCAGACCCGTGCACGGGGAGCGAGGGAGATTATATGCTGAAACACCCAACCCCGCTCATTCATGTTAACACTCTGTCCTCCGCTACTTCGGAGAGGGACTGCACTTTGAGATGGACGCCTGAGCAGGACGTCTGAGTTAACATGCGCATGTATGGGGGGCCCCACCCAGTCGGAGTCCTGTCTCCTCTCTCTCCCTCTCCCTCTTCTCTTCCCCTCCCCTCCTTCCTCCCGTTCCTCTCTTTTCTTCTCTTCCTCCCTCCCTCCCTCTCTCTCTCTCTTTCTCTCTCTCTCTCTCTCTCTCTCTCTCTCTCTCTCTCTCTCTCTCTC